GCCGTGGGCTGAAAGTAAATGCTGCATTATATCCAAATATATTAAAAATGAAAAATTAATTTCATGTATATTCTCTACATATCAATGACTCTGGTCCACTTTTGGGCTGCGGGCCCAGTTTGGGCTTCTCTGCTTTAGTGGATAATAGCTCATAGCACATATTTTGTTGGCATGAAATGAAAATCATCCTTATTTTTCTAAATGTTTTTTATCATATTATGAACAATTCATTTGTGCATACATTTAATTTTTTATTTTTTACCTTGTAAATGACCTCGTTTCAATCTGAAACAGCAGACTTCTCTCTGGTGATGTATGCCGGACTTCTCCATCACAGTGTGGAAGAAAAGATCCGCCTTTACTTTGATTTCACTGCAACTTTAACGTCAAGTCTACATAAACTATTCTGGATAATTGTCATTGACATTAAATAAATGCCAAAGGTTTCCCAGAGGGCCTGGGAATTAAAAGGGTAATTAGTTGTATTTCAAGCTGCCCCTCCCATTGACAAAAGTTTACTCATAGTCTGTTTGTTTGGGTGTATTTCTGTTTGAAGTAGTTTAGACTGGTAGAGTGTCAGCATTAGCATTGTCTGTCTGTGTGGATGGAGGGCGAGGTGATGGGCTGATGAGCTTGTTGGAGGAGAGTTAGATTTGTCTTGCTAATGAGAGCCACCATGAGTGCAGGGATCAGGTCTCCGCCTGGAGCAGGATGGGAAGCAGACAGCACTAAATGTCCTATGAAGGACATACTGCTGTCGTACATGCCCTTGATTGCCCATGAAGAAAGACATCCAAAGAGGATGCTGTTGGAAAGCAAAATGGCATGTGGATGCACTACAGGAGCATAATAATGTGGACAAGGGTGACAGATGGTTTGATTCCAGGGCTGCATGAAAATAGAGAAAACTTGCATTGTGATTTCTTTTTCCTCTGTATGCGTGTGTGTTTTTGTTTGTTTGTTTGTATATATATTGCGATATGAAAAAAAATGAATTTTCACCAGATTAATTGTATAGCTATATTTGGAAAGATTTAAACGTTCTGTAATGACTGGGCTGATTTTGTAGGAGTGCACATGCATAAAAAAAATAATAAAAAATATTTTGAAAAGCTGAATTATTATTCTTTTTTAGGGTTGGACAATTTAGGATTTTGTTTTTGTTTTTATTTTGTAAAAAATTAAAAATATTAAAGTCAAGTCACCTGTATTTATAAACCGCTAATTCCAGCTACATTTAATCAAGAAAGCTCTCTAGAAAACAAAACAAAACATTAATAACATTGTACTGAGAAATGATAATTTACACACCCTCTTACTTTTCAAAACAAATATGACTTTCATACTTTTATGGAACTCCATAAAAGTGAATGGTGACCACAAATGTAATCATTTTCAGTGAATAATGGCTTAAATTTTAATCTATTCCTTACACGAGGCTATCATGTGGCTACTTTTCATGGTGCTTTTTTTCCTTTTTGCAATTGGGTGGCCTTTGGTTTCCAATCTGTTTTCATTGTATGGAAAAGAGCAGCGTATTCTTCAAAGCATCTCCTTTTGCTTTCCTCAGATAAAAGAAAGCCATACAGGTTTGGAATGACACAGACATTAGTAAATGATGACATAATTGTCATTTTGGAGTGAACTATCCCTTTAACTTTGTGGAAAAGCAATTTTTTGTTGACACCTTTTATTACAGTACTCATGTGAAGAGGAAGATGTTTATTTGTGTCTGGGGTGTTTTGAACGGTTCTGAAAGAGGAAGTGGAACCCCCTCCTTGTGCCCTCCACTCTATTCTCCAGAGTGGGAGAGAGAATGATTCAGAGCAGCACTTTATGTGATTATTTATTTATTGATGTGCTGTATGGTTTCCATGGCAGTGGGTATAATAGTGGGCAGAGAAACATTCACTCTCCTAGGCACTCAGCCCTCTTTTACTTGAGCTGATGATTTATTTATAAATATTCTGTGTGCTTTTCATGGCTTTTCATTAAAGCCAGTCGCTTAGTCTGTGGCAGGTAGATTTCTAATTGATCTCTGAGTTTCTTCAAGCTGTATGGGGCCACCATCACTTATCCTCTCCATCCTTGTCTGTCTTATTACATGGAGCTGATAACAGACTTGCACGTCTTCGATGGATGTCTAAGAACCCTGGAGTGCACACTTTAGTTTTTCTGGTGTGGTATCATCTTGAAGATGAGGCTCATGGTTCTCTCAGATACTTCAGTAGACACCTAAGAGGCCCTTAATTCTGTCCTAAAGGGCCTCTTAATTCCCTCAAGAGAAATGGTGCAGGCAAAGAGATTGCAGTGTTTTAGCGATAAAAGAAATGGGAAAAATGAAGCCATCTAGTATTATGAATATAACAAATTTGACCCAAAATTTATGATTTCATTGCCTCATTGGCTTCTGTTATGTTCAGTGGTCATACTCTAGAATCCTCAGCCACGCAATTCCCTTTAAATAGGGGTTAAACGGATCATAGTTCATCAATGCAACACAGAGTTGATTCTTCTTTCACATCTCTTTGTGTTTGAACAGACACAAATACACATTATGCCAAAATACCAGTCTGGACAGTCGTTCTCATAAACGCATTCAGTTATGTGAGCAAAAACACCTGAGAAAGAAATCGGATGTATATCATTATATTAAATCCGTGCATCAGGTCTTAAAGGGACAGCGGCCTATAAATACCAGCTGCTGTCTGTCATTAATGTTAATCGAACAAAAACACACATCTTTAACTAAGATTATTCTATATTTAATTTATACAGTGAACACTATGCAGTGTTATTTTACACTTAATCATTACATTGCTGTACCTGGGTAGTACTGTTAGACCTTATTTTATTTGTAACTTTGTTATAAAGTATTTATCTATGAGTGTAATTTTTTTTTACTTGTCATGTTTAAACTTTCTTAGTTAGGCTTGTAGTTTTTACTGTGGTATTGAAGAAATACTTAAAGTGTGCTATGTAATCGTAATGCTGTACATGAAAGGCAAAGTTACATTGAAATAAAATTAGGGATGCACTGAATGTTCGGCAACCGAAATTATTCGCCCGAAAATAGCAAAAAAAATCTCTTTCGGTGTTTGGCCGAATAAGTGAAAAAACCTTATAAATTGTACCGAACAATGATGTGATGCCATCAAATAGAGGCACGCACTAACGCAGCAAACATGTCGTCAGTGAGAGAAAGCATTTAAAACTGTCTGAGAAAGATGCAAAAATCATTATAAGCACAGACAGCAAGAGACTGTTTAGTGCTTGTCTTCGATGAGAAGAGGAAGGGTTGGTTGTTGCTGGTTACTGTATGATGATTGAAATCGCGAAATGGCCTTAAACAATTAAATAAACTGCAGAGTGTTGCTTTCTAATACACGCATGGATTGCATGGATTCTGACTGCGCTGCAGAGCTCACGGTGCTATCTGCTTGTTAGCCAGGGTTCAAAGTCCAAAGCGCGAGGAAAATCTGCGCTGAAACAGTGTTACTCATCAGTTGCTCAGTCACATTTTTATGAATTTTTAAAATAAAAAAAATTTGACAATAATAATTATAATTATTACTACTGTAATAATCTATTAATACATTTATAACATTCACACATTGTGGATGGGATCTGTAATATTTTCTAATATTTTCTTTAAAAAAGTGTCTTCTGCTCAGCAAGGCTGCATTTATTTGTACAGTAAAAAATACTGATTCAAGAAGAGGGTCTCAAAATGGCCAAAAACTATTATTTTACTAACTTTTTAATTTTAAGTTAAATTGTGCCTTGTTGGTATAATGTCTGCTACAATGTTGAAAAATTTTCAATGTTAAGTAAATATTTAAAAATTGTTTTTTAATTGATTTTCTCTTTGAAAAGCAAGACAAAACAGTAAAAAGCACATTTTGACTATTTAACCCTTTAACGCGTACGATCACACCAGTGTGATCAGTCTTGGCTGGTCCCTGAAGTGTACGATCACACCGGTGTGATTAGAACTTTCAGTGCGTCACGTCATCAACTGCTGAATTTAAATCCGCTTTCGCGCTTTGGCTGGCGCGGAGCCAGATTGGACACGCTGACCGCTTGTCATATTATCACAAATTTTCAGTGTTTTCAACCATATAATAGTGATGGGGAATATTTTAAACTCACGTGCGAAAGGGTTAACTTATGCAATGGTGAAAAAAAATTGGCAAAATACATGGGGGGGGGAAATGCGAAAAACCGTGTTCTGTATTCGGCCTTCAGCCTTCAGCCCAGTGTTTCATTTTGTTTGGCTTCGGCCAAGAATTTTCATTTCGGTGCATCCCTAAATAAAATATTTTTTTCCAATCCGTGACTCAAAAACCGCAATATGATCTGAACCGTGAGTTTTGTGATTTGTTGAACCAGTGGCCAAACAGTGCTTCTCTGATGAAGCATTTTTACTATGTCAGCATATTTTGTGCACATAGTGTTAATAAGATGCAATAGGCAAACATGTCATCATTGCGGACATGACCAAAAATTGTCCAGTGTTCATTCAGTCATATTTATAATATAGTTGTGTGAATCCTCAAGTAGACACCAAATCAATTCAATTCATGATTTACTGTTTTTTTTGTTATTCAAGCTTTTTGCGCCAATTTGCATTTTTTATTAACTTAGTTTTTTGCACCAAAACTGTTAGTGTACTTTGTTGCCATTAATTTGCACCTATACTTTTATATTTATTTTAAATATCGTACCAATATGTAGCTGAAATTTTAAGAGGCATTTCTGAAGAACTTTACTACGACTGGTTTAATTTATCTCCTGAGAACATGACATTCTGAACAGCATTAAAAGAACAATTACCCAAATTGAATTTACGAAACATTATTTTCAGTTTCAGCCAAATGAAAATGTTAATTTCAGTTTCTGCATTTCTGTAAATAAATACACCCACATTTATTTGTGATTGACAGTTGTAGTAACCAGTGCCCACTTTCTGTTCTCTTCAATACCCTTCCCTTCCACAGACCCTCCTGGTTTGATGGGTCCGATAATCGGGATGTCTCCAGATAAGAAAGCCGAATCTCCCGGAGCGCAGGGCGTGTGTGGAGCTGGGACTCTACCTGAAGCAGAGAGTGCTTCCAGTCCCATGGCTACCAGTCTAGACCAGATTGGTCGGTCTGGAGCATTGAGTGTGGTGGCGGGTGAGTCTGAAGATGATGAACTAACCAACCTGAACTGGCTTCATGAGAACCTGCTGCAGAACTTCACGCTTGGAGGCGAAGCGCAACCCATCAACAGCCCGCTGTTTGACATAGAGGGAGGCGGTGGGTCGCCACACAGCAACACCGCCTCGTCCACCTCCTCTATCTCTGCGGGAAGCGAGAGAGATCCTTACAAGTCAAAGCCTCCTTTCTCTTTCTCCTTACTGATATACATGGCTATCGAACAGTCGCCCAGCAAATCTCTCCCAGTGAAGGACATCTACAGCTGGATCCTCAAACATTTTCCATATTTCTCCAGCGCCCCTACTGGCTGGAAGAACTCAGTGCGCCACAACCTGTCCCTCAACAAGTGCTTCCGCAAAGTAGAGCGAAGCATAGGAAAGGTAGGAATGCAAGAAAAATGGACATTCTCATGTGGTGTTTGTAAGGGATAATGTACATTCAGCCGGTAAATGCAGGCATAACCATAATTGTAATACAGAACCATAATGGTTACCAGTATTACAATATTATTATTATATATTTTTTTCAGTCATTATTGGATTTTTAATTGTGGACCAGTATTCTTATTAACTAAATGTAAAACTATTAAAAATGGTTTCATTAATTGAAATTAAGTTAAAAATTAAATGAATATTACAATAAAATAAATATTAGAATAAAAACTTAATCTTAAAAGTTAGAAATTGTCCCTTGGCAAATAACTGAAATAAAATAAGTTTAAATTCATGTAATAAAATTGCTAAACTAAAACTGAATTAAAGCTAAATAGAAATATTTAAAAAAGCTAATAAAAACAACAAAAGCATATAACAAAATTACTCTAAAATGAAACTATAGAAAGCAAAAGCAAATTTAGTATATAAATAATACTAAAATAACATTGTTGCGGACATTCATTTCAGCCTATTTTTAGTGTTATTTATTTGTATTTTTTTAATAATATTTTGGTGCTTTTCTTTAAAGGGGTCATATGATGCTATTTTAAAGATCATTGTTTTGTGTATTTGGTGTAACAGAATATGTTGACATGCTTTAATGTTCAAAAAACACATTATTTTTCAAATACTGTACATTATTGTAGGTCCTCTATGCCCCGCCTCTCTCAAACACGTCATTTTCAACAAAGCCCTCTCCTTTGACAAGCACAGTTTGCTCTGATTGGCCAGCTTACCCAGTGCATTGTGATTGGCCGAACACCACAAGCACGCGTCGGAAATGTAACGCCCCTTACCATAATCGCGAGCTTCAGCTTTCAAAGTAAATATCAAGACAGTTAATAATGTCGTTAGTTTTA